CTCTCCCATAGATCCTTTGCCATCTTTGTAAGCCCACTCTAAATGCTCTCTAATTGCTTCATGTGCTTCATGTATGTGGTGATGTTCTGACAAGGGTTCAATTGGGTATGAATCTCAGAGAGAGAGCAGAGTGTTGCTGGTTCATGGAAACGTGTCTGTACAATATCTGGGAGAAAAAGCAATGGCTGTTTCTGGCTGAGAATGTCCCACGGACAACAAACCCTGAGCAGACTCTTGATGAGACAGATAGAAGACCAGGAACCATAAGTCTCTTTCCCTAGATGAGCAAGGTAGATCCAGCCACTCCTGCAGATAATACCATCGGGTGCCTCTACAGACTGGATTCACCATCCAAGATCTGCAGACCTAAGTATTTCTGTGGCTGAACTCAAACCCTGGCCACACTGTGCACTGCAGGCCCAAAGCAAACACAGGTCAATGAAACACTGTTAAAATATTACAGAATTGTTTTTGAGGTATAAAGCCCTGCCGTGCCAGCAGTGAGCGCTCACTCCATCTATCAGCTAACATGGAGATACTAGTGCTGTGCAGTGAGTGGATATTGCTCCATGGCCGGCCAGACTTTGTCTGAAATACCTGGTTTTAACTTTGGTCTAAGATTCAACAAGATGCGAGAGGTAGTCATTTATAAAATGCATTTTTCTTTATGCATTGGCTGGGTGGATTTGAGCATGCTCTGTGCCTGAGTGTCTAGAGAAGTGTGTGGCCCCACACCAAGCCCCGACTGATCTCAAAGGTATCCACAGGTAATGATTTCTTTTAGTAGAGTTTCCATCTCATATCTCAGAAAGGCCTTCAGTGGTTTCAGGTCGCTCACGTCATGGTTTCCACTATTGACTGCTGTCAAAACCTCTGCTCCAAGAGAATTTCCTTCCACAGAGGGGTCTCACAGAGGTCTCTGATAGCCTTTGGCTAAAAATCTCTTCTTCCTGTCAGCTCTTCGCAAACCACCAGTGCCCCTGACTTGTCAAATTCTTCCTGAGGCTAGTTAACAAATTCAATCCTAACAAACCTCTGAGACCTAGCTTCAGCTGAACTTATTGATGAAAGTAGAAAGGAAAGGAATATTTCCAATCTAAGCCCCTGCAAACAACAAATGGCATAAAAAAAACCACAAAACACAGCCACCCTGTTTTAGGTGCTCACGTTCAACTTGAATCTTGCTTCAAGTTAAAAAAGAAAATAAGTACAAGGCCAAAAATGGGTGGCTTTGGTTTGCTTCAATGTGGCAACCTAAGTTTGCTGGAGGAGGGCTAGAGGGATTCGACTTGTGTGCTTCACCTGTGATTGCAGGTCTACTGGATGCCTGATTTCCTGGGTCTTGCATCATGTCCCACGTTTAATAAATCACCTTGGAAAAGGGCTGCCAGGTGAAAAGACCTAGTGAGCAATGAGATACTCAGTATGGCTCTGGCCTATGCTGTAGCTAATGTCCATTGGGAAGGCAAATTCCACCCCTTCATGTTTCCCTAGATCATTCTGCAGTCATCAACACCCAGATGAGGACATCTGAAGCACGGACCTCGTGTGCTTGTGCCTATGTGAGGAGAGCTGGAAGAGCCAACTCAAAGAATAAAGATATATTTCTTCTTTTAACTGAGGGTTTAGAGGCAAATAGATGACCTTTGAAGAAACAATGAAAGCATTTTCTCTTGGAGTCATGTGGAATATGTAGTGGTACTTATCCAGTTATAACAAAATAAATGGCTTCTCTGCTCATGGGGGAGGCATCTTATAATTCATTCATGTTGCATTGCCTGTTCCCTTTTGCACTCTTTTGTTTCCAAAGGCAGACATTCAGAAAGTTGTTCTGTATATACTACTGCTAGGTTGAGTGTTTATTTGCACAGGAATATTTATTTCATTTACTGCAGAGGTAAACTGGTTGGAATGACTGCTCTAACTATAGAAGGGGTTTAATTTTTTGGCTATTCTTTTTTTTATAGGCGCATTTAATTCATATTAGATAGCTGGCACTTTTGGGAACAACTGAAATTTGGAGTTGTGGCTGCTGATAGCTTCAGTCAGTGATTTGATTGTCTACTGCTCCCATCTAGAAGACATTTGATATTTATCTTGCCTGTTTTCAAGAGATGTTAGTACTGGCTATAGTTACTCAAATCTTTTGGTTAGCCAGGGACAGAACCACCCTGTTTATTCTCTATTCCTTATGCATGTCTTCAACCTTAGAAATTGCTTTGCTAATTGATTTCATGATGGATTTGCTTGTGGCTGAGAAGTTAATGTTTGTAATGGCTCTTTCATGACAAATTCTTTCCAGTAGCCATATTATACTTGGACTCGACTCTTTTTTTTAAAAAAGAAAATAAATAATATGCTTGACATAATTAACCACAGTTGAGTTTTCTGAAACATTATTTCAGCTGAATTTATTACAGAATTTTTCTAACTGCTGCTTCATTTCAACTCTTCCTCTGAAGCTAGGTTGTCTACGAGGTAAATTAAACTGCAGAGCAGATGAAGAGACCATCTGACTTTGTTTTTCTACAGAATTTGGAACCTTGTGTCCATACAAGACTGTTTTTATTTTTTCTTTTCTGTTTTAATGGCACTGGCATTCTTTCTTTGTGTGGCATAAAGGATGGATTGCCAACCTGTTCTCTTGTGGTTCTCTGCTTTCTTCACTGCCTACCGATACTTTTCTGGTGGTTTCTTTGTTCCCTATTGCTTTTTTTCCCCTCAGTTACCATACACGAATAAGTAGCTGCATGGGCAGCCTACAAAAGTCCTTTAATCATGTCTGAGATTGTAGAACCATCTGCAGCAGCCCTCTATGGTATTTTGAAGGCTTTATTTCTTGTGTTCAATGCCTGGATAATGTTTCTGCAAACAAACTTTCTCCTAAATCAATGGTTCCCCTTCACCTGCGTGATGAAGAGAAGTAACCTATGCCTTCCTCTTGTCTGAGCTGAGTATTTTTCAGGAGGTTCCTGGGATTTCCATGGGAGCCTTTGGTTGCTGTAAAGCATTTACTTTTCTGCCTGTTGTAGTTGAACATTGGTCAGATCTTCCTTTTGCTTGTAGAGGTAGGCAAGATATCAAGCTAAGGTCAGTCCCACACATCTAAACAAGACAAAAGTCTCATGACTGAATGTACTGAATAGGCTGTTCAGATTCTTGCTCTTTTATTAATCTCTAAGAAAACTTATGGTATGCAGGAATTCCCACTTATTCCCTCAGTGCTTTCCCGGAGCACATCTATATGGCCAGACTCAGAGGTTATCCCGAGGTCTAAAATAGGATAGAGATGTAACCTAGGTATTCAAGTCTGAAGGGTAGAACAGACTGTAAAATTCTCTGGAACTCTGCATAGTCAATGTCAGGATTATCTTGTCTACTAAAATTTGGTCTTATCTGCATGTCTGGGGCTTTCCTCCCAGGTAGAATGTCATATCTGTTGTAATCCAAATAGAATAATAAGAAGAAACTAAATTCCCTTTTTAAGTATGTTCAGATTTTCTAATTGCACCATTGTCTCCCATTCAATCCTGGATGGTTCTCCTAAGGATTGTTTACAGTGACTTCAGCTTCTGGTGCTGCAAATCTGGTGTTTATAAAGACAGAAATTCTCTTGGGTAGGACTGAGGAACATCTTTTTTAAGAAAAGTTCAAAAACAGCACTACAGCTTGCTTCCATCCCTTTGCTCAGACAGACTCAAATGAACGTGCAAAACAACCCCACATCAAGATGCAAAAAGGACAGCATCTAATCTGAACAGTGACTGATACTTCTTTGAACTTTGACCTTAAATCTTCAACATCCTTTGTGCCTACAATTTTTAAACTGATCACAGGAAATGACTTTAGAATGTGGAAGCCTTTCTGCTAGGCTTGCTTTGTAGTGGCTTTTGGAAATGTTCCCAAAGACAGCTCTCTTGTGGGCAATTGGACCCTCCCTGTTAAAAGGACTTGGAGGAAGCTTAAAATAGCAGTGTTTCGCTTGTACCTTATGCCTGTTAGAAACCACCACACTGGGTGACACAGCAGCAAAGCCACTCTCTATTTCCCATTACGATGACGATGGTGTTTCACAAGATTTCTCTTGGACAGCTCCTGAAAACATGGAGAAGACCCCAGTCCAGTCCAGCCCCCAGCAGACAAGGGCAGTATTTGACTCGCTTATTGCTTGTGGCTTATTTCAAAGGAAGCGTTTCCCTGGGAAAGGGAGAGAAAGAACTGCAGTAATTGCTACCAACAGTAAATGTTTATCTCATTCTTTATGTAAAATGTTTTCCACTGGATGCATGCCACGATTCAGACCTGCAATCCTGCAGTCAGCAGGAGACAGGTCTTCTATTTCTAAGACAGAAGATGATGCAAAGAAAAGAAAAATGTTTTGATCATGTCTAGCTAGTCATTTCTGCAGTATGATTAAAGCACGTATATTCATACTTTCATTGTCTTGACACTTAATGGGGAATCAGGAGATGGCACAAAAAAATAGTATGCATTCTGTAAAAATATTTACCTGTGTGTGCAGTAACTGTTACGACACAGAAAGAAGGCAAGACACTGATGGGACACAGGAAAGGAAGAGATCAGTCTGTTTATTCTATTTTCAAATATATATGTTCTTAATTTAAAGTGCAGCACTTAATGTACTTCTTACATTATTTATTATTATTAGATACCAGCTCCCTCTCGGCATATTTATTTTGTTAAATTACACATCTAAAATTAAATACAGCTCCTTGTCAGTGTTTATGTTCTTCTGCCTATTCCTATAATTATTGTTGATAAGAGGTGGCTTTCAAGTTAACAACATGTGGATTGATAAGACAGCCATTATTACGTTACCTGAGTGCTTTTTGGAAAGCTTGCCTCAAGGGCAAATTCTATTTTATCCAGAAAGGGCAGTGCTGAATCCCTGGCTTACAGGCTGCTGCTGAAGGTGGTATTTGCTGCATCCAACCAACTGCTCAGGAACTGCTAACTCCTGGGCATTTGAAATCAGTGACTGCGACTGTTTTTGGGGGTGCACAAGGGAGTGCCACCTGTGCTTATTCTTGAGTCGCCAGAAGGTTCCTGCTCCTTTCGCTTCTGCTCTTCTCTTCTGCTTTCTGATGCTCTTCTCTTCATTCTCAGATAGTAGATCCTGTTTGCTTCCGGGTAGGTGACTTTGCAGAGGGGGATTTTGTAGATGTCCGGGTTGTCTGAGGTTAACAGCAAAAAGAGAAGCGCCGAGAAGCAAAAAGGCCAGGTACAGAGTGGTAGTCCAAGCTGGTAGAGGAAGGTGGACAGATAGGTGTGTTTTGGAACCTCTTTTGCACCCAGCTCACATGTAGACATTTCAACTGACTAAGAAATGACCAAAATCCTACCCTCGTGGTCCTGTAAAACTTGTTCTGAGAATACTGTTCACACACCTTCAGTCCTCAGTGCCCATGAATTACTGGCATTGCATCTGCCCAACAGTCCTGCTCTGGGACCCAGAGTGCTCACCTGTCCTGCAGCATGCTGAAACCAAGATTACAGGGAGAAGAACCAGTTGTCCTCTTCCCTAATCCATATCCAAAACAAAAGGTGTGCTTAAAGCAGCCTTTTGCATAGGCCTACATGGTATTAAGAGAATGCCACATGAGTATATTTAATGCATTTAAGCTGTTAGTTCTACTTTTTTTTTTTTTAAATCATTGTAAGTTACTAAATCAATTTTATTAAAATGTAGGTTTGCTTTATTCTCTCAGATCTTGAAGAAACAAAGCCTGGCACTTCTAGCTTCTTTTCTTTCTTGAATTGCCCAGATACAATGTTTCTGTATTTAAGATAGCAATGGCCTTTTTTTTTTTTTTTTTTTTTTTTTTAATCTTAAATAATTATAGTTCTCATTTCCAGACCAAACTTGAGTCAAAAATTTGAGGGCAGATTAGGAAAAGCAAATAAAATTTTAGACCACTGGGATTCGTTTAAAAATGTTGGCTGCAGCTTAATATTGCATCTCAAACCATAAGCACTTGCAAATCTATGTGCAAATTCCCATTCTGGATTATATGCTCCAGAGGTTTTTGAAGTCATATTGTCAACTGTGGAGTTTGCAGGTGCACGGTCCAGCTGATGCACCATCTATAAGAAATGCTGCTGGCTGCAGCACTCTCATTTTGGTACTGTCAGAAGATGGAGAATTTTGGAGCATTTCCTCAGCGTTGTATCATGAGAAAATCAGAACACAGCTAAAACAAACAAACAAAGCTCAGAAAATATTTAAACTTACCACAGATAGTGCATTAGTAAGAGCTGCTCCAGAGTAGGCACAAAACAGTGCTGACGAAAGAAGACCAAAGAGTTCAGGATTGGCAAAGAATAGCTCAGCTTTCCAAGGAAATTATCAGAAATAATAAAAATATCCAAATGCACAGTAAATCATTTCATTTTATATGATTAATGTTAGAATTCAACTGTTGGTTAATATGCTCCAATGTTGTGTCTGGCCGTGTGGTCTACAATTGGTCTTATCTGCTCTGTAACAGTGGATGGTGAAAGAAAATGGTTTTGCCAAGAGCTGGTGATGGTGGTATTTCCTTATCCATTTACACAACTTGACCTGTGTGTTGTGGGGATCCCTGAGCAACTGAGAAGGGATGTTCAAATCAAACATGACAAATGGCTGGAGGCTGGGTTAACCTTCATTAGGAATTTCTACACTGTACACTGTTCTTAAACTTCCTGTATTATCTGCTTTTGGCTTTTGCTGGAGGTGGGTGTCTTTGGCTAAATGGATTTTAAACTGAACTTGCACAACAGCTCTCCTCCTGTGAAGCAAATCCTCTGAGGATAATTACAATTTTGGAATGGCTTCTATGAATCTCCTGAGTGGATAATTTGTTAAACTTCTGTTCATGGCATAGCTTGTCTCCTTACAAATACTCCTTCCACTGTTTCTAGATGTTTCTCTTTATCAGAAGACTTGTTATCTAGAAGCCTTTACTTTGGCCTTTGTGGTTTGCACCTCCAAGCTTAAATCTGATGCCATGACAGAAGTAACTCCTGGAAAATCAGAATCCCAAAATTGATTCAGAGTTGTCCTGTACTGCTCATGTACTGCGTAGATGCAAAAATTTTTTGCTTCCCTTATCATATAAGATACATACCACAAGAAAGGGCCAGCAAATGAGTCTGCCAAGTCAGGGCATAGAACATGCCTCCAATTGCAATGCATGCGAGAGCGCAATTGTAATTGTGTAAGCCAAGGTAGATGCTGTCAAATGGTGCTGCAATACTCAGTGCTACAAGACAAAAAAACAGGGGGCTGAGGTCAGCTATGGGAAGTATTTGCAGGAAGTAAATCTTACCTGTTGGAAATTCAGTCTCTTCCTTATGATATCCAGCCAAATTTACAGTGTTCACACTTGCACAGCGTTCATTTGCAGAAAAAGGGTGAACTCTAAAGGAACTCATTTTTTTGGAGCTGTGATAGAACAGCAGTGGTTCAGTGTCAAATGCTTCTTCAGATAAAACTTCCTACTTATGCCCCATATTTGCTCGAGCGAGTCCCTAGGATATCTGGATGGGAGATTCAGCCAGAGTGCGTGAAGGCTTTCTCACTTGGGTTTCTTCCTTGCAGAAAGCTGTGGTCATGTGTGTTGTTTAAATCTCACATGTTCTCATGTCCTGAGTATTGGAGGCACAGTTTTGGTAGAAGTAAGCATAATTTTCCATCTCTTCCTCATGGCTAAAATGCTAAAATTTGCCAAAACGCTAAATGTGTTCTGGTCCCTCCATCATTGCTGTGGATGGGAGCTGAGGTTTTGCAAAAAGCCTGACATCATAAGTACTTCTGCAGGACTTCTCATATGTATTGGGACTATCACTAAAAACAGCATCATCTTATGTATTGCACAAGCCACCTTATTCTTAAGGGCAATACTTTTCCTGCCGTAATGTCCTCAGCTGTCTCCTGTCCCTCATCACCTTGCTTATATTTCCACATGTTTTCTCCAGACCCTTCTCTTCTAGTTAAATGTCAGACCTGCGTGAAACTTGTCAAATATTTTTAACCCTATAAATTATGGATAATTTTCTTTAAAACACAAACTCATGGTGGGTCACATCTTGTAAAAAGCACTTCAGAGTGCAAATCAGAACTTTGTGTTGGACGTCTGAACCTTTGTCAGCCTTTGTAGTTGCCTCAGACTATGCTAATTCTACCATATTTTTCATTAAATTTGCTCACATAAATGGCACTGGTGTTGTTTGTATTCAGGGGTCACATTCATTTCTGTTAAATTAGGATTGTTTCTCTGGTTAGTGGAGTGAGGCTGTGCTCTCTGTTCATCCGGTGGCAGTAGGTTAAGCAAGATGGAACAAACTACCTGCCACAGTTCCAAATTTAGTTCCAAATTTAGAGCTTGTAGAAAACCTGCATCTGTTCTTCCCTTCACCATGCTGAGTGACCTTTAAAATGAAGACCTTTAAAATTCAAAGACACCTTCAAAAACAGGAGTGCATTCCCTTAGCCCATGCAACTGTAAATCCTGGACAGAATCTCATATTGGCTTGGATCAGTGTATTTTCTTAATTGAGATAATGTTGGTGAATATTTCTTACCTGCAAGCATTCCAACTGTAGATCCAATTGCAGCATGTAAGCAAATAAGTGGGGAAGAGATGAATAAAGCAACAAGGAAGATGCCTCCAGTCCAGGGGTTTTCACAGCCGTACACTTGACCAACACCAACTGGGATGGACTGCAAGAGCTGCAATGGCCAGTAGATAGGGGACATGTTATTGTAGCTCTGAGTGGAGGACACAACAGTTATTTTGTCCAAAGTATTGATTAGAAAGGAAAGGTGACAACCCTGGCTCTGAGAAGGTCTATTGAGTGAACACAAGTGCTTATGTCCTTCAGTCCAGAGTTAGCTTCTTGTTTGGTCCAAATTTCATCAGTCCAAGATGGGCTTTTATTTGTTCTGGGGTAATATGATCAGCTTGTGTTTGTTGTGGTTTTGTTGTAAATGACTTTAGTGAAGGAGAAAAACTGTTACTCTCCTAAGCAGTAATCCTGTATTGGGGCTGATTTGAGTTTTTTATATAAGATGAAGCATATCTGTTCCCCTTAACATTTCTTTGAGTGTGTGGATGTAACAAGACAATTTCCAGTACTAAAGCTGGCCAGAGGAGAATGAGTGTAAATTAATTTCTACCCCTGTGAGATCATGATGTTTCTTCCCTCTTTTCATGTTTTCATTGACAGTCCTGCTGACATCCTGTTGACCACATTTGGACAGTGAGTGTGCATATTTGGATATACTCGTGTGATAACAGCAGCTGTGGCATGTTTATGGGCAATCTAACTTTGGATGGAGTGAGAGGTTCAGGATCTCTGAGATCTGATCAGTTTCTCTGCTGGATTAGCCAGGACTGCCCCTGGAGCCTATGTGACACTCTCTTGTATGAAATGAACTAAGCCATTTATTTCTGCAAATGGGTGCTGCTCAGAATGGGCATATGAGAAATTGCTACCCAGAGATAAATGTCTTCATGCTCACATTTTCAATGAAACAACATAAACGTGTTGGGGTGAAGCTTACCAGAGGCACATTGATTGCAGACCAGGTGATATTGGGCACCGATGCTACAGGCTTGATGAGGGTTGTAGGAAAAAAAAGGTTGTAGTGTCCTGTGGCTGCCAAGTACAAAGTCACCGCAGTATTGAAGGGCAGAGTGAGTACAGGAAGGTCCCATCTACTGAAAATAGATCCCAAAGCACTGGACAGGACTGGACTAAGAATGAAAGGAAAAGAGAAACAAGTATAGCTTGTTCATCATATTTACAATAGTGATTCATCCTACCATTTTGGTCATAAGCTCTGGAAAGTGCAAGCCAGTGGTATTCCTTTGGAAATACTAGGCAGTGAATTCCTTCACATAGCAGACTGCATTTGTCCAATAGTTAGAGAATGCTGTCTGTCCTTTTACAGCAACTATCATACTCATTAGTGGATGTAAGCATATATTTGAGGAGTCTTCTCACGACATAAGTTCCTTTTTGGTCTTTTTTGGTTAAATGGGGCCCAGAAAATATGTGAATGAGAGTGAAGGTCATGTACTTGATGGAAATTGGCTGTATTTTGATGGTTTTATCTGAACTCTGATGATGCAACCGGGCTGAGCCACCCTTACAGTTAGCTTCAGAGTTGCAGTAGGCGTTGCACAGCTTACAGAAATACAACTTCAAGACCTGAACTCTTCAAGAAGCTGGATTCAAGTCCCAAAAGAACATCAGACTGGTTCTAATCTAAAGCAAAACAAAATAAAACAGCAAAACAAACTGGAAAACAAAAGAAACCAATTATTTGGGATTTCAAAAGCAACTTATTGTGTCCTGTTGTGAAGATATTATCAATGAAAAAAAATGCTTTGTTCTCCTTTTGTTTTCTCAGATAAAGCCTATTCTTTTATGATGAATTTGGTTTCCAGAGCAGTTTAAAGGCTTCCTTGCTCATTGCTGTAGAAAATACCCACCACTTCAGTGAAAACAGTGTCCCAGTTTCTGTGTTGAAATACAAAGCTTCTGCCAGCTATACATCTTGTCAGGAAAAAAAGAAACAATTAAAGAAATTCTGACTTCTAAAGCTGAGATTCAAGCTACTGGTTGAAAAAGAGAATCTCTGAAAAGTCTAATTTTAAAACCTTTCAGCTCTACCCTCGAGCCCTGCGAACTAGAAAAACAGGGAAATGTTTGAATAAAAAGCCTCAGGGAATTCTGGCAGACAAGACAGACTAAACATTCTTGCAACATGTTCTGGATTTTAAAAGTGTGTCTCAAAATGACCTTCGCCGACAGTGACTAGTGAAATAAAATATTGAAAAATCTGATTTCAAAAGCAGTGAAATGCAGTCATGATTTGTATCTTGTCACTGATGGTGATTAAAATCTGGCTTTTGAATTAATTTCTGTTGAGGCTGTTAAACAGATTCTGCAGTGCTGTTAAGGTCTGTATGTAGAAATGGTAAATATAGTCCTGAAAGGATGCTGACTAGCTTTTGGAACTAGTTGTAGGGAAAAATTTGATTCGTGACTGGTCGCACATCTGAGATGGGAAGGTGGAATTCAGCCTGAAGAAGGAGCTTCAGGTCAGTTCAGCACCTGGATAAGGGAGCATCATAGGAGTGCTGGGCACATTGACATCCACCCCAGTGAGATCTGATGAGGTCCATAAATGTGCACTGAAGTAGGGCTGCTTTGTCCTTCAGGTATGATTGATTTTGTTGGTTCATTTGACTTCCTGCCAATGTGTTTTATTCAATAAAGAGCTTTCTCCAATGCTACCTTGTCTGGAGCTACTGATGTAGGGCACTGTGCAGACAAGACTTGTAATGTGTACAATATTCACATAGCAGAATTCCTCATTCTTTGAGAATTGTCTCTAAGAGAGACGTGACACTTACCAGGCCATGGATATAACTGCCACAGGGGTAAGAAGCCACCAGTAGTAATCTCCCTTATCCGAGTAGACAGCCATGAGCACTCCCACCAGGATCCCATTATAGCCGTGCAGCCCTGATGCAATGGCTGATCTGTGATACAAAGAAATATTTGCAAAGCAGCAAGCTGTGCAGAAGGTGATCTGCCACAGAGACTTGCTGAATGCAACTTGAAAATATCCTGCTCCTGGTGAACGGAGTGTAGAGGCAGGATGGAAAAAGCAGTGAGGTAGTTGCCAACTTTCATTGCAGAGGTCTGTGGAATGTATGATTTTTTAAACTATTATTAGAATCATAGAATCATAGAATGGTCTGGGTTGAAAAGGACCACAATGATCATCTAGTTTCAACTCCCCCGCTACATGCAGGGTCACCAACCAGCAGACCAGGCTGCCCAGAGCCACATCCAGCCTGGCCTTGAGTGCCTGCAGGGATGGGGCATCCACAGCCTCCTTGGACAACCTGTTCCAGTGCCTCACCACACTCTGTGTGAAAAACTTCCTCTTAATACCTAATTAAACCTCCCTTGTCTCAGTTTAAATCCATTCTCCCTTGTTCTACCACCATCCACCCTCACAAACAGCCGTTCCCCCTCCTGTTTATACGCTCCCTTCAAGTACTGGAAGACTACAGTGAGGTGTCCATGGAGCTTTCTCTTTTCCAAGCTAAACAATCCCAGTTCCCTCAACCTTTTCTCATAGGAGAGGTGTTTCAGTCCTCTGGTAAAGAATGATGATCCAGAAAACTCTGTGTGATCCAAATTGTATGGGTGTGGTGATGGCAAAACATAATGGTTATCAGGGAGAGAACAGGACTTGGGTTAGGTGACATTATTCTCACAGTGGTGGCCAAGTATCAACCTCCTGAACCACAGCTCTGTCCTTACCTGACTTCCTCCAAGTCAAGTGGGGAAAGTGGGTCTGCTGGCTCTAATAGGGTTGAAAACAGGACTACAACCTATCAGCATGCTCCTGATATCATAATGATCATCTCAAAGATCCCACATACCTCTCCTGACTGAGAGCCAGAGCAGTTAACGTTGATGTGACAGTTCCAACACAGCCCGTCAGCAGCCACCATGGCTTCTGGATGAAAAGCCCCACTAAAATGATGAGCCCACTGAGAGGGTTGTTGACAAACATCACTTGAGAGGTGCCTCGCAAGATCCAGTCCACCAGCTGAAACATGAGGGGTTTATCTGACGGAGATAAAATAAAAACGTTGGTGATAAGGCACCATTTCACTGGGACTCCTTCAAAGCACACTCAGCTTGACAGTTGTTTTCTCGCCACAGAATAGAGGCGATGTATCAACAGGACTATAAAAACGGGCTCTGATTTATTGCTGTCTGAGCATATTTTTGCATCTGGCACTTGAAATAACAGGGACTGGGTGCTGCTATGGAGTCTGTGGAGAGATTAATAAAAAATGGTTTATTTATGATGGTTAAAAAAAAAGTCTTTGCAGAAGATTCTGCTATAAATTTAACAAGGAGATAGACCCGTTTCTGTGCATAATTCAGATGCAGAGAGGGACAGAGGCAAAGACTGAAACTAGTTTTTGTTTGGATAGGGAAATATAAAAGAAACACTTCTGCTGTTTTATGGAGAAAGCTGGTGACCCAGAACATGGAAAAGTCAGGTGGTAAAATTCTGTTGAGACAGGGTGTGATGCAGGTCCCCATAGCAGAGGTGTCTCAGTGCTCAGATATATGAGGTAGCAGGAATCTGCATGCTTGCTTGCATCATGGTGTAATGTTCAGACTCAGTATGTGGTGGACAGTCCTGTGTAATATCTTTATTGATGGTCTGGATGAGGGGATTGATTGCACTCTCAGTAAGCTTGCAAATGACACCAAGCTGAGAGGAAGTGCTGATCTGTCTGAGGGTAGGAAGGCTCTTTGGAGATAACTGAATAGGCTGCATTGATGAGCTGAGACCATTTGTACGAACCAGATAAAATGCCTGTCCTGTACTCCAGTTAGGGCAAGCCCATGTGACACCATGGGCTTGGGGCAGAATGGCTGGAAAGCTGTGTGGCCGAAAATGATCTGTAGATGTTAGTCGACAGATGTCTTAATATTAGCCAGCACTGTTCCCAGGTGGCCAAGAAGGTCAGTGGAATCCTGGCTTATAATAATATAGTCACCAGCATCAGGGAAGTGATTGTATATCTGCACTTGGCACCAGTGGGGCTGAACCTCAACTGGTATGTTCATTTCTGGGCTCCTCACTACTAGTAAGACACTGAGATGATGGAGCATGTTCAAGGAAAGTCAGTGAAGATGGAGAAATGTCTGGAACACAAGTCTTACAAAGAGTGGCTGAGAGAGCCGGAAATGTTTAGTCTGGAGAAGAGAAGGCTCAAGGAAGACCTCATCACTCTCAGATCCATTTTGCCATCCACCAGTACCCACAAGTTCTTTTCAGCATGGCTGACCCCAATCCTCCAGCTTGTACTGATAGTGGAGGTTGCCGCAGCCCTGGTGCAAGAACTTTTGCTTGTCTTTGCTGAACATCATGAGGTTCTCCTGTGTTCACCCTCTACTCAAGTCTGTCTAGGTCTCTGGATGGCATCCAGTCCCCTCAAGCATGTCAACTGCACCACACAGCTCAGTATCACCTGAAAACTTACATTCAGTCCCAATGTCAATGTCATTGACATAAAGATATTAAAGAGCACTGGGCCCAATCCTGACCCCTAGGGGACACAAGCCATCATCTGCATTGAACCATTGACCAATACTCTGCAGGTAGTCCATCTATCAAATCCATGTCTTTCCAATTTGAAGAAAATGTTATAGGGGAACATGTCAAAAGCCTTGCTGAAGTCCAGACAGATGACATCAGCGGCTCTTCCCTTGTCCATTGATGCAATTATGCCACCACAGAAGGCCACCACATTGCTCAGGCAGATATTGCCCCTGGTGAAGCCATTATGGTTATCCTGTATCACTTCCTTCCTTTCCATGTGCCTCAGCATAGCTTCCAGGAGGATTTGCTCATCAGTAGGTCCCTGGGTTCTTTTTTCTACCTTTCTTAAAAAAGGGCACAATATTACCTTTGTTTTTTTCCAGTCACCAGGGACTTCACTGGACTGTCATGAATTTTGAAATATCATTGAGAGTGACTTGGTGTCTGCACTGGCCAGTTCCCTCAGAACTCAGTGATATATCTTGTTAGGACCCATAGAGTTATAGTCAGGTTCCTCAAGTGGTTGTGATCTTGAGATTTTCTTACAGCAGGAGGAACATTGCTCTCCCAGTTCCCACCTTCTAACCCATTCCACTTGATGGGTATGAGGTTGTCTGAGGGCACCTCTGCGCAGTAGTCCATGTACAGAAGAGGGTTTTGCAGCACCGCAGTAGCTGTGTTCCCGACCCTTGTGCAAATTGGCTTGAGGACAAAATGGAAATGGCACTGTAATATTGTGTGTTATTAAACACAGTGTAAGAACATGAAAAAGAAACTCTGCCCGTGCCTTTCGTTTTCTTAAATATTTGAAATTAATTCAGTTACTCAGTTTATACTGTTAATTAGACACATTGTGAAGTGCCAGGCTGCTTCTTGAATCTGGGCAATGTCTTATTCGTAACAGCTTCCTACCACCCCCTTCTTTTCCACTTCCCTTCTCTGTTTATTTACAGTTGGGTCTTAAGTTCTGCTTTGTGATAGAGGTAGCTCAAAAAGAGGAACTCTCAAGGGACTGACACAACTCTGAATCTATCCAGCATCCCCGGGAGAGACATCCCAAAAGTATGTTGCTGTTGATCCTGGAGGGAGTGTCTTCTTTAGAGAAAAATGGTTGTACTAATTAGAGATAATTTTTACTAATGCTTGGTATTGAGCTATGAAGCATGTCAGCAATGCTTTTGGGTTTAGGCACTAGTTTTAACTATATTCAAATATTATGAACATGCAGGGGCAGGAAGATTTTCAGGACACCAAGTAATAAAAGCTGTCTATCAAGCTAAAGGTAGCAAGGAGTTAACAAAAAGAGGAGAAATTCCTTTTTGCTAAGGAACCAATCTGGGTCCACGGGGAACAGGTTTCCCAGTGAGCTGGTGGAGTCACTATCCCCAGGTTTTGAAGAAGGGTGAATGCTGCACTGAATGAAATGGTCTTGAGTGTTCACAGGCATGGGTTGATGGTTGGGCTAGATGATCTCAGTGGTCTTTTCAACATCAGTGATTTATGATTCTATGAAACTGCCATTCTCCTGAGCTCCCTGAATGGAGGTAACTCAGCTCACCTCCTCTTACATCTCTCCCTTGGTTGGAGCTGTGCTGCTAACGAACCTTGCCCTGACAGAGGAGCCACAATTTTGCATAGCCTCTCAAAGCTCAAACCCCATAATAATTCTGAGTAACACAGAACATCTGCTGATGTATTGTTCCTGCCTGGACAGTAAACCTTTGAGATCAGTACTTGCTTTGTACTTTATAGGAACGTAACACTCATGGTGCTTATTACTCCCCAAAGGCTGGTAAATACAAAGCCTTTGCCTGTACAGTCAGAAGTCAAGTCCCCATTGCCAGCCCACACATGGACAGGGAGATGGCTACAAATCCAAGGCACTTACAGACAAGTCTAAATCCTCATCTCTGACGTGTGATTCTGGGCACTGCTATGAGGAACATGATGTTAATGACATAACTGATTAAGTGTAAAAGATATCTTTTGCTCGTGCTGAATTATTCGTGCAGCCATGGTAATGGCAGTGAAGTTTCTTTCTCAAGAACAACACAATTTGGGCTAAAGCACCAGAAGTTCATACTGAGTTCAGGCCATGCCTTCTCTGCTATGTCTTAGAAGGTGAAGTGGTCTTGTGGACCAGGATGTATAGTTGGTGATGTATATGTTCCCAGCGTGCTCTTCCAGACAGCCCCAGCATACCCCTATGCTTACTTTTCATCCACTCTCCATATTCTTTCATTTCTCCTGTGAGATACTTGAAAACTTGGGGGATTTGTTTTCCACTTCTCCCCAGCACGTCCTGGCTTCTTGGCTGCTTCTCTGCACATAGGTTCCTCTCAGCCGGACTTTCAGCCACAGCAATTTCTCCAAGATCCATCTTTTTTGAGTAGTGAGAAGAGGAAACTGTAAATCACAAAATCCACGTGTTAGTAAACCTCTTGTTTTGTGCTCTGGCAACCTTCTGCTGTAGTTTAGAGACCCACAGTGACATCATTTTTTAAATAAGGAAGGTTTCGTGGATTAGACACCTGCCTGAGCCACTGCTGAGGACAGTACGAGCTGCCATGAGAGCAGTGTAATCTTCCATCTAGAACTTGCTCTAGTTTTCTTCTTTTGGGGATGATGGCCATAAAATGATCTAATACTGATATGGAGTTGTGGCGCAGAGCTGCAGTGGGCAAACTGGACATGGTTTGCGTGCCTTGCAGGATCCTAGCCAGGGCTCCTCATTCCACATCTGCTTTTCATAGACCACCAAAAGCAAACTGAGGTAGCATCAAAGCCTTGCTCAGAAATTGGCGTCCAGATGTGGCTCTGAGTGAAGATGAGCCCCTTGGCTCAGGGCTGTGGGCTCTTTAATAAGCAGATGAATATCCAGGCAGGACTGTTTGTTTATAAAACTCCAAAGTACTACAGCAGATCATTAAGAAGATCATTAAGACATAAACCCTTCAGAGAAAACACACTGCATTGCACCCCAGGGAGTTACACTGCAGATGACTTCTGCAAAGATTCTGATCAGTTTGCTCTGATCAATTTGGAGCAGTGTGTCTGGGTCTCTAGATGCTGACCAAGAGCAGATGATACTGCCAAGAGCTTGCCCCATGTTTTGTGGAATATGGGCCCCACCTTCTGGTGGAAGCCTGGGTTTTGGCAGGTGGCTGTCAGTGCACAGCCTGCACCAGAAGAGCAGAATGAGAAGGGACGCCTAGTTGAGAGCAAAGCTGTTGTGCCTGACAGGCTGATGGTAAAAATATCCACGGTTCTGGATGTTCTCAGAAGAGGATCCTTGACCACCAGAAGATGTTTTCTGTTCACCCCATGGAGTACAAATTTACATGCAGCTCTGGAAATACATCCTGCAGTTCTTGCTTCCTTGTGCTTTGGCTCTCTCTGCTGGCAGCACAGCTCTTTGCAGTGGCCTTTGAACACAAGCCTCAGCCTGGGGCTGTAGATTCAACATGTATATGTAAAAAAACAGCACTGTTTATTTGA